ACCACGTAATTCTTAGTTATATAGTATATAAGGAAGCAAGAATAAAATATTCTTTATTTTTTCAATGTCTTTCTTATTCTTAGTTTTACTTTAAGAATCTCTAGTCTTCTTATCTTTCATAATAATAATTTTAGTTTAAATATTATAATATTTTAAAGTGAATATCTATTCTTTTTTATTAATAAAAGATTGTATCGATATTATTATTGTTTGTAATTCATATCTTTGAGAAGTGTTATTGAATAAGTTTTTAAAAACTTAGAAATTATTGTCATAATTTTATTTGTATTTCTACAAAAAAAATATTTATAGTTTGTATCTTTCAAAGATTCAATTATTCAATGCAATAGTATAAGAAGTAAGGAATTTCAGTGAATTTGCTTTCACCATTGTTAATAATAAATCTTTGATATTATTTTTTAATTCATATCAAACTTAGTTGATTAGGACTTTATTATTCTAATCGACTTTGTAAGTAAGACTTTGAAATTAAACAACATAAATTATTACTATTAGTGATCTTTACTATAAAAAATAAAAAAATAAATTATTTTAGCTATTCTTTCTTATTCATTTTTTCTAAATATAATTATAAAAATCTTTAAGAATGAATTCAAATCATATAAGAGTTGTGAATCTTTTTCCATCAAAGGTACAAACAAAGACAAAGCAATAATTTATGTTGTTTGGTTTCAAAGTCTTACTTACAAATAAAACACTTTACAATTGATTTTGTAAGTAAGACTTTGAAATTAAACAACATAAATTCTTAAGTTGGATTTGTTTGTGTAGTCCTATTTAGAAGACTTTGAAATTAAACAACATAAATCCAACTTAAGAAATTCCATCAAGATATTATAAAGAATATACTTTTAAATAGAACTTTATTTATTTTAAAAAATTTAAAAATTTTGATCTTGTTCCATGAAATATTTTTAGCATATTAATCATTTTATTCTTTATATTTATAATGGTAAGATTTTTTGGACTTATTGTTGAGATTAATCTTCTTGAAACTTTTAATTATACAACTTCTTAACATAGACATTGGATAATACTTTTTATTTCTTTGATTGATAAAAGAATATGACTTTCATGGTTGATATTAATAATATATATATATATATATATATATATATATATATATATATAGACAAAATTATAAAAAACTACAATCATTATAAATCTATTCTCATTTCTATTAAGTATAGCATTCATTATATATTTTTCTTCTAACTTTATAATAAAAAACCTCAATAAATCTACAAGTAAAAGTAGATAAGAATAATTTGTAATCCTAGTCTTAAATCAAAATTTCTACAAAGAAGATTAATCTATTTTCTTTATTAAAAATAAATAAATATTAAAAAATCAAAAATTATTAATTTAAAAGTATATATTTTTTAATATTTAAAATAATGCAATAAGTAGTAAAATAATTTATTTTTTTTTTTAAAAAATAAATATAATAAATAAATATTCTTATCAAATTATCAAAAATATGAATCATAACGAAATTCTAAAGAAGCAATATATTCTTGTTACACTCAAAATAAAGAAATAGAAAAATTAAAGGTAGATATTTTATAGAAATTAGAATGACTATTGCCTAATACAAAGAAACTAGAAATTATTAAGTTTAGACAAAAGTACAAGAAAATTGTTCACAAGAGTGAGAAAAGCCTCATTCTTGCATCTATATATACTATCTAACTAAGGAGCTACATGAAAATATTTATAGATCATTTGATATATATTCAATTTAGAAGACATGTATCTAAATTGCAAATCTTTTTTTTTTACATGTATGTCACATAGTCAAATTGTATCACAAAAAATCAACATATGCAACACATGGCCAAATTTTCAACCTACTAATCACCTACAAATACTCATAAAGTCAAATCTTTATCTAGTAAGATTTTAAGAAGCTTCTCTATAAGATATTATTAAATTTATTTACTTTTATTTTTATCTAACTCCTCTTATCCTCCTAATTATTAATGATAATATTGATATTGGTGACATGAATATTGGATTTGATAATCATTGTTGATAGTTTGAATAGAATAATTATTAAGATATTAATATTTTATTTTTCGTGTAAAGAAAAAATTATAATTTTGAGGTATATGTGATGCAAGGGATTCAATTCTTACAAGTAAATAGATACTAGCATCTTATAAGTTGCCATTCTATTATTTATAGATTTTATTTTTTTCTAAACTATAATTAGATAGAACTTATGAACAAATATGAGATGAATTACAAGAATAAGATAAATTTTAGGAATACTATGAAAGAATTGATACAAGAAGAAATCTTTAGATTATAATGTTCTAAATTGAATATTTGTACAAAATACAATATTTTTTATCAATCAAAAGCCAAATTAATATCAAAACTTTATTTTTTATCTAATTCATTATTTTTAGTATTAGCTTTATCATCATTAAACATGTCTATTAGTTTAGCTTAGTTCTAATTAAAAAAATAAGTTAAGTGTATTGTGAATAAAATAGAGAGTTACATTTAAGAAATGATTATAAAGTTTGACAAACAATGATCAATCTTACTTCATAATTAATAATAGTATTGGTAGTACAAATCTTTATTAGAGAATTTTTTAAACTTTGAATTTCAAGTACTTTTATATTAAATTTAAATACATGTGAAATAATACGTTTTCATAGATATCTTATAAATAGACTTATAAAGCTTGATTTCTAAATTTATAGTAGAATTAGTATGATTCATATAAAAATATCAAACTATTCATAGATATGTGATTCATGTTGGCCTATAAGATAAATATTTTAAAAAATTGCAAGGTGACTTTATTTTCTTATTAAAATATAAAAAAAATTACATACATTTATGCTTTATAATAAAGCCCATTAAAATGAATGATAAAGGTTGTTTAGAAAATATAGAAGTTAAAAAAGTTCATAGAATTAATATGTTGGAAACTTTGCTTGAGAATAAATGGCACAAGATTAAATAACTTCTTTAACAACTTTTCCTATTTAAAGTCACTAAAAAATCTCTTAAAATAAGCTCCAAAGTTTTGTTATAAGAAAATCATATTATGCTTAAAGTATTTATAATTATACTGAATGATTTAAAATATATATATACATCTTTTATAATAAAGAAATTTATTATTGAAATGTAATTTATTATATTTATTAATAAGATGATTTTCAACATGAAAAATAAAAAGGATTCATAAATGTTTTGATAAAAATCCATAAAAAGAAATATTAAAATCATCTATTTTTTTAATTTGTTGGCTCAAAGAAGCAAACTCTCTAGCTTCAAAAGAACAATTTATTATTGATCATAGACAAGATCTCTTTCTCTTGGTGCTAAATAAGAACATTTAGATAAATAATCTTAAAATCTTTGTTGTTTTTAAAGCTAATATGTAATATTATTTTTCAAATAAATAGATTATATTAAATCCTTTAATCAATCTTAGTTGTTAAAATTTTCTTAAAATTATAAAGATTAGAATAAATTAAAAATTTATAAATATTTTTATAATAATTTTTTGAAATAAATAAATTAATCTTATCCAAGAATTGTGATAAATATTAAATTTTATATCTTAATTCCGTTTTTATTTACTAAAAACATAAATTAAAAAAGATAATAATTTATAATATAATTGTAATAAAACAAAAAAGCTTTAAGCTAAAAAATTTTAAATATTAGTTTTTTAAAATTAATATAAATTTTATAATTTAGATTAATCTTTAATTATTTTTTTTTATCTTGATTATACCATTTATAATTGTATACTTTAAAAATTTAAATCAAATGTTGTATAAAGCATATTTTTACATCATTTTAAATAGTCAAATTTTTTCTTTTTCTTTTTTTGTTGTAATATACAATAGAATAAGTTTTTTAATATTATATTATGTATTATAATTGATATATATATATATATATATATATATATATATATATAAAATTTTAAATAGAAAAAACAAATTATAATGTTTTGTTGAAGGTTTGCATTGAAGGTTTTTCAAATAAAGCTTGTATCTAAAGGAATCTAACAATGGATTATTGTTGTAAAATCTCAAAAGATTTATAAATTTATAAAAAGCGCTAAAGGAAAAATTCAAAATTTAGACATTAGTCTTGTTTTTCATATAATTTAAAAAAAAAAAATCCACTAAATATTTTAAGGTTTCATGTGACTATAAAATCTTCACTTACAATAAATGAACCACTGGAGTGGGCTTGTTTATCTCCTACAAATTTAAAGCACATATTTAACTTGTATATATACATGTACTAGCAGAAATTTGTGTCATTGGGCAAGGAAAAAGTTATGAAAGCTTCTGGAAGTGGTCTCTTCTAGTCTACGGAACCTTAGAAAGCCCCAAATTCGTATATTTTTCCATGTTCCCTTCTTCACAACCAATGAAAAGGCTTCTGTGTGTACACCTGAGCTGCTTTGTATAATAGACATATATATATATGTATATGTATATATAATGATTTGTAAAGAATCACTAAGGATTGACATTGTTATATTGCAACAAGCAATGTATTTATCAAAAAAACACATATTCCTAAAAAAAAGTCCTGGTATAAAATCAAGTTGTGACAGTCCATTCAAACATATTCAAATCCCAAAAAACAGATATTTTGCTAGTGGGAAAACATCATCACCTTAACATATATTGCAATGATGTTTTTTTCAAACTTTTGCACACCAAAACATGTACAACAAATGCAACAACCATGTCCGACAGTGTCGATCACTCACTTGTAAACATGACAAAGGAATATCTCGTAGTGTACGCCAATGATTTGTGCACGACTTGTCCGGCCATGACGCCTGAATTTGACAATCGTTGAGTAGATGGGCAGACCATGACGCCTGAATTGCGTAGATGGGCGGAAAAACTTCCGACGCAGGGATAGCAACACATCGTCGTCGTGCTCACAAGTGCCGCCTTCATGGCAATGGCATGCAATGCAATGTCACTCTCTTCAGTACAATACCCCAGCACAATACAATGCTTGTGCCCCTCGGAGCTCACCTCGCGGATCCGGCCCCCTCCCTCTCTGTCTCTGTCTCCGCCATCGGAATGCGGCATATCCTTCGCCTGTGGTTTCCTTGTCCCCCTTTGCGCCATTGCCTTCCGCGGCCCTCCAGCGACCCCGCAGCTCCACAGTTCTCGAGGTCTGGAATTCGGTGTTCGAAGTCGCGTTCTTCCAAGTTCGGGAATGGCACGGTGAGTCCCGTGGTTTCGAGATCCTTGGGCAATTTTGGAGGTGCGGTGGAGCTTTCTGAAGGGGTTTGATTGCCGCGAGGTGTAGAGGAGAGGGAGGGATACGAGCGGCATGGAGCATGAAGCGGATGAGTTGCAAAGTGCGCCACATGATGGGCGACTGGTGTTGGAGGATCGACTGAGAGGGAAGTCTTTGACGGTGCTGAGCAAGAGCCTTGTGAAGCCTGCGTCGGAGACGCCGAGCGAGAAGCGGTGGCTGGCGTTTTCGAATTTGGACTTGGAGTGGATGCCGTTTTACACTCCCGTGCTGTGCGCTTACAGGGAGAAGCCGGCGGGGAAGGATGTGGGAGATCATCTGCGGGAGTCGTTGAGGAAGGCGCTGGAGTTGTTTTATCCGCTGGCTGGAAGAGTAGTGACGGGCGGCGAGCAAGGGCCGGGGATTGACTGTAACGATGCGGGCGCCGTGTTCGTGGAGGCGAGCATCGATGCGGATGTGGACGAGGTGCAATTCAACGAGGATTTTCAGCCGTCGTTTATTCTGACGGGCATGGAGGCGGCAGGAATGGGTGGTTATCCGAAGCTCCCCGACAAATCTTCAGGGCGGCCTGGTCTCATCGTGCAGGTTTCTTCTCTCATCGTATTTGGGCATGCAACAAGTATGAATGTGATAGTTTGTTTGAGCCACAATCTGCACTGATTTCTCTTAGCTTATGTTGTTGAGCTCCAAGGTCAACCAGGTTTGTGCTTCTTACATGTTTTGTTTTTGTGTTTGCAGTTGACGCACTTTAGGTGCGGTGGCATTACTGTGGCATTCAATTGGGCGCACCCGGTAGCTGATGGATACTCTGGGTTGCACTTTTTGAAGTCTTGGGCAGAAATCGCTCGCGGAAAAGAAGTTTCTCTTCTTCCCGTCCACGAGCGTCACCTTGTGAAGCCGAGAAATCCTAACGTTCTCTCTAATCCCTTCCCCGGAGTTCCAGAACGCCCAGACGGCAACGGCGATCTAACTCATGATTTGCATATTAAGGACACTGGCAGAAATTCAGGCGAGGAGAAAAAATTCATTGAAGGAAAGGCCGAGGAAAAGGAGACTTCTCTCATAGTGCAGGTAATCGAAATAAGTGGGCGAGATGTTGGTAACTTGAAGCGGGAGGTGGAAAATGGAGTGTCTGTCGCAATGCCTCGCTTATCGCGGGTGAGCTGTGTCTCAGCCCACTTGTGGCGAGCTCTAGTGAAAGCACGCAACCTTCCTGGCGCAGACTTCACTAGATTTTGGATGCTTGTCGAAGGTAGGAAGAAGTTTTCCGTTCCCATGGGCTATTTTGGCAATGTTCTCGGCAGCCGTATCGCTACCACAACAGTAAGCGACTTATTGAACAAGCCGCTGGCTTTTTCAGCACACTTGATTCAGGCCGCTGTCCAACAGGCCACAAAGGATTGGTATCAGGATATTGTGGATTGGATGGAAGCGAAGCAGGACATGGAACGCCCTGGACAAGTCTTCGGTTCTGAGCACGAGTGCGGCGCCTCATGGCAGAATCGTTTCCCATATTATGAGCTGGACTTCGCCTTTGGAGCTCCTTTGTGTGCTATGCGCAATGCCAATGGCGGTTGGAATGGTTTTGTCATTGTCCTCCCTAGCAATCAAAACAGTGAAAATTACACTGCTATGGTGCACGCAACTCCTGAGGTCATGGAGAGATTTATACCTTTGCTGCACAACTTCAATCATTCCTCACAACTGATTTCCTCTTAGTTCCCTTCATGTGAAACCTACTATACATCAGGGTTTGTTTTACAGATATTAGAATCCTCTCTTATGACCAATACTGATGGGCTCAAAGCATTGGGATTTATATAATTGTTAAATTTGGTTTGAATGTAATCATTCTGATTACAACACTATTCCTGCCCACAAGCTTTCAGTTGTTCAATAGCTCACATTTGTCTAAGTCACTGCAACTCAAAACCTGTTCCTCTATTTCTGTTTTATAGAAATTTTAATTCATTCAGCTGGGAAATACGCTGTTCTGTTAGGTTTTGTGGAAAATAGTTCTGGCGCTGGGATTATTCTGTTTCGTGCTGGGCCTGGTACTAACCATCAATTTGAAGGCGCAGAAATACTTCAACCATAATGAGCTTAAGTGGTGATAATTCCTTGTAGTGAGCGAACCCTAGAAGTTGCTTGAATTCCAACGATTTGGTGACGACGGAGTGAGGAGGGATTATTAAGTGAAAGTGTTGGAGTCGAATCCTGCGGCCATTGCGCAACGGCAAAGTCATGTATGTAGAAATTAATGCGGCGACCGAATTGCTTTCTAGGAAGCGTAACATTCTCCCTACCTTCCAAGGCATCACGTGGTTACTGGTAACGAGGACCTCATTACTGTTTCGACAGGCAAAGAGGATGCGCCACATGAGTACAATTTGGCGCAACTTACTCGACTGTATAGAATTCGCGATTGGAGGAAAAGTTAGAGTAAGAGCGAGAGCTGTGCCATCATTTGTGTCCAGAATATTCGGAAATACCTCCTTGGTTTCATAGGATAGAAATCCCTGTAAGTGCGTCTGGCTCGGCGAGAATCCTTAGCGACGGGCAGAACATGAACGTCGAGGAGCTCATCATGCAGTGCAATTTAAGAGGGAGCTGTTCCCCTTGCACACATTGTTCAGGGTAGAGTTCCTCAGTAAGACAAAACAAGTAAAATATCAGGGCAGCCACGGAGCACATCGTTTCGCTTGAATTCTATGGAATAGTCGTAGTCTCTCCAAGGGGTTGAAGAACGAGATACGCCACACAAATAAGAACAAAATTAGATCAGTAGAAGGTGTCCTAGTGACATCACGCTCTGACTTCTCGAGGTCTGAGCCTATTCTGGGGCGATGCCGATTGGATTCCAAAGCAACTCAATAGAGGTTGGTGCGTATCGCGTATCTCGCTCTTTCGATTCTATTCTCCTGCAGCAGGTCAGACGACGACGAAGCTCGTGCTTGCTCCAGTGGTGGGACCCATATATGAGTAATGTTTATATCTGTTCAGAAGAATTGACTTTTGATGAAACTTCAAAAACAAACAAAAGAATTTGAGACTAAACTATTGTTGTTAATGAGAAATAATTGAGAATCCACCTAGTTCAGTGCCTTTAATGAATGAATAGTATTTGACTTCTACATATGTTGGTATCATCCATTAAATGACAAAAAGTAACTTCTTCCATGCAATATAAGTTAAAGAGACAAAGAAGCCTTCTCATTGATCAAACTAGGGAACATGGATAACAAGGAAATAGATCAATGGTAGTGCCAAAGCTTATAGTGCTCAAAGGCATGTGTTTCAGTTAGTTAAGATTAATGTAGGTTAACATGTAAAAAGATCTTCAATTTACTAGTTGTTTAGCACATCATTTCACATGTACAATGGCAGATGTTTCTACTAGTTTGAATATATATATATATATATATATATATATATATATATCCACACACACACATATAAAACATGTGTGATTCATTTAATATAATATATGTTCAGATAACATAACTATGAACTTGGGCCATGAATTATAAAAGTAAGAAAAATCACCCTATTGCTCATGTAAATGTATGAGATGGAACATAAGTATGGATGAAATAAATAAAATAAGCGGTGAAAAGGAGAAATTTTGTTGAAAACTGCTAAGAATTTTTTTCTATTATTAACTTGACTGAGATCCAAGCCTACAAGTTGAAGGTTCCGAAATAGATTTCTCTTTTTTATGCTTTGTTAAACAGCTCAAAGAAATCCTGCTGGAGTAATCGAACATTTGACTTGAATACTCAAATGAAAAAATCAATCTCATGCATGCAATCTCAATCGTGACCAGATACCACCATATCGTTTCCTCTAACTTTACATTGTTTCATTTTTGTTTTACTTGTGAGATTGCCTATAAACGGAGCATAGAATATTTCACACCAGCAGGACTTATTCTTCGACGAGCTACTGGCCGGCAAAGTGCTCCACTAAAACAAATAAAAATTACCAAGTAGTCGCAGAGCCCTTTCTCTAGGGCTCCCATGTCCCCTAACCCTAACTACTAACAGTCATCCATCGTCCATCCACACACCCGCGTATCATCCATCCGTTCCCAGATCCCTGCGCTAGTCATTCTCATGCTTGCGAAGAGGGAAATATCCTTCTATTTCAAGCAGGGATACAATCCAGTTGTAGAACTATCTAGATGCCACGGGATTGTTTTTAAACGTATCCAGTCCCTATGTGCATGAATCCACCTATCATCATGGCATTCCATACCATACGTAATACGAGTATGTATGTTGCATGCTGAGGTTACAATACCGAAGTTGGTGTATATGCGCGGCAGCAGCCCCGCGATAGCAAGGCCTCCCTCCGCGTCCATACAAACTGCCTCCGCGACGTTGACGATCCACCACAAACACCTGAAAAGCGGTTTCGGGATCGTGCCATCGTGTGTTGTTGATCTCTTCCGTAGAGTGGAGCAGCAGCAGCTCTTTCCCACAGGTGAGTGTTACGCGTTAGGTACTAGAGGTGGCCATGTTGTTAGAGGATGCAGCTAGGTCCGACGCTGGTTCATGGTGGGCCAACGGTGGATCAATCGTGGTGGCTAGAGATTCCCGAGAATGGTGACTTAGGCTGGGACGGTGGCGTTGGAATTGTGGCGCCGAGGGATCCGCTGTTGGCGAGTTAGTGGATTTGTGATTAAGTAGTGATCGTGGTCATGAGTTCTGCGTGTTTTGATAAAATGGTTTACGTGTTTGGGGCGGCTGGGCTAGCATTGGCGTTTGGGATTTTAGGAGAACCTTGAGTGGTTCTCTGCAGGCGGAGATTTGGGAGGATAGCTCCGACTTCTCCTTGTTGGTTGAGTTGGAGCCCATTGTGGTTTCGACAGCAGATATATCGATTTTGAGTCACGCTGTAATCGTGTGTCTTGAGAGGGTGGAAAGGTGGATCCCGTGTTCAGCAATTTGCTGTACGTCGCGGTTTGTTGGTTTCGGCACATGCGGTCGTCTGTGTCTGCACTCAAGGGTTCCCTCGTGGGATGGAAGTCCTGGATGGCCGGGTTGCCCACAGTGCGCTACGAACACAGTTGTGTTGCCTTGGACCCGCTGAATTTTGATACTTAGTCTTTGAGCCGATTATAAGATTTTATCGGTGCGGTCGCGAATCTATCGAAGTTCGCATCGTTTCCAGTATACAGATCTTGTACAATGCGTTCTTTGTTTTTCTCTGTCTAACAGTATTCTGCTTAGTTGTGGTGGTCAGTTCGTTGCAGGAATTTTATCCCAAATTGGAAGAAAAATATTCACTCGTGTTTGAATTATATTGTGGGGTTTTAGCACATGGATTCTGAACAATAGAATTTACACGCTTGGCATTGGCGCGAGGGAAGAAGGCAGCGTTGGTGAGAAGGAACTTAGACGTTAGATACGATGGTGGAATGTTTGGACAAAGAAATCAACAGGGTGCATGTCAATGGGACGTCTCATCAGACCCCTACCCCTAAGACAGTGGACGCTGAAGTGGAGCCTAGGAAGCGTTGCTTGTGGTTCGAAGAGGAGCTGGAAGAGGATCTTCGCTGGGTGTTCGGCGTCTCCAAGTAAGATTGTAAAACTCATTGATATTCCTTTAGGTCTGTGTTATCGTCCTAGCTCGTTATGTTTTTTCCGTCAGAAAGGTTACAAATCACCAGTGGAGATTAATGTCAAGGAGTGTTCAGTATTTTCTGTCTCTCGCTGAGGTTAGGAATGGGACAAGGAGGTGTGTTTATTTTTTGGACAGCGACGCACTCAATTGAGTCTTGAGGGATACCCCATCTTTGCCGTCTACATCTCCAGCTGCCTTTGTCACTTTACTTTGACTCTTTGCAAAATTCCGTGCAGCCATGGTAGTATCAGTAGACTGCTCTATCTCAAAAGGCTCGCCCTAAAACAATTTTTTTAGATAAATAATTCCAGATCCTCATGATAGTTTTATCCTCTTGCTTTTCTGATATTTTCTCTGAACGGAAGAATTCAGCGATTCTCGCCGCATTTTAGGAGGAAAACAGGATAGTCGATAGTTTAACTGGAATTAAATGGGAGCGTTGCAGTCTTCGCAACCAGCAGTCGCTCATATTCACAAATTTACCCAGCGGTCAGTCTCGTATCCGATCTCCCAGGCAACTCATTCAATGTAGCCGCTTGCATATCCCCGGGCTTTTGAGGATCTTGGATTCAGAACTGATAAACTATCTTTTATTAGTACGAGGGTGTGTTGAAGCGCCGCTGTCTGTTCTCGTTAAATCGTCAACGGCCATAGTCGTTGTTTCCGGACAAGGATATTCGGGTATCGCCACCTCAGTCCACTCTCGGCCGTCGATTATGATCCCCAAATTTTTATATTCGTATCGTGCTGCCAGGCTAATGATTAATTCACAACACTTTTGTCTACTTTTTTCTTCGTTTTAATTTGTGAGAGAAAGGCGTAAGAACCAGTGCATGTTTGGTAGGGCTTTCACACTAGATCTACTCTGTTCTGAAGTGACGTTACAGTTAGCATGCGGGCAGATATTTCAGAGGAGTCGTGGAACTTAGTTTACTTATCTGGACATTCAGGCCGTTAACTATTTGCTTCTTAATACAAGTAATTAATTTTAGGTTATTGTCGTGTCTCAAATATTGCCTCTAATTCTATACAAGATGTAACATTTCTGAAATTAAATTTGGTTATTCTCGTAAAGTTTCAAGTTGGACTAAATAACTCGGGCATCCCTTTGTTGATCGGTATCTTAAGCTTGGTTCTTACTGGGCATTTGTTCCTGTCCTGTTTTGAGGTGGGCCTCTTGAGCTTGAGAAGTCACGCAGTGGTTGCTATGTCCATGTCACCGAGCAGGACGGTGGAAAAATGGTTGCTGTATTATAACTTTTGCTGTTCTGCTGGATGTCGTGAATCAGGCTGCTTTTGTTGCCTCCTACATTCATGTATTAGACTTTCATATTTTCTTTAGATTATATTACTTCTTTATCTCGTACGGTTTTAATCGTTAGTGTCGTTATGCCCACAGCACGAGACTTAGCATCAGAACGGTCATCTTGGAGTTGCCGTGACCAGAATTCCACCCATCCACCTAAGTTCTGTCCTCCTTCATGATGACCAACTAATTTGAGTGTGATGTGTGAAATTCATTCATCTCTGAGAGCATGACTACCAACAGCCCTCCACCTTGTTGCAAGCATTTTCAGGGCCTTGAAAAGATCTTCGTTTATGGCCAAAGTCTCCATAAACTGTACCACGGAGCATCCTTTTTTTTTTTGTCCTTTCGCATTAGTATCTTGTGAGAGCATATTTGTGGGGTGTTTCACACAGAATAGTTATTTTTCCAATTTATTACCCACCAAAGAACCTTTCAAATCCAGGTGTCAGGAAAAGCTGATAGTGGGCACTTCTCGGTAATTCCTGTATCATATCTTCTACATACATAAATCAAGGGTTCGTGAGTTAGCGGACATGCCGAAAAACTAATAAAATAGAAGGTGGTTCTTCTCGTGGAAATGTTTTATAGCCCTGCAAAACTAATGCATGCGTTTAACTTCAGTTGTCGCCTGCATTGCACGTGGCAGGATTTTGCACACTGGAGTGAGTGAGTTTCAGAACATCGAGTTGGTGGAAAGTGGGCCCTTCGGCAAGGTCTGATTCTAATGACTTGAAACTATTTATCTTGGATTAAATTGCAACTTCCAGGCGCTTTCAACAACTTGAATGTTTGTTGTAGTTTTGTGATGGATTGTACAAATGCACGTGTGGTCAGGTATTGATTTTGGATGGCAAGCTTCAGAGCGCCGAGGCGGATGAATTCGTTTATCATGAATCCATTGTCCATCCAGCTCTGCTTTATCATTCCAAGTATTCCTCTTCATCCATGGCAAATCTTCTTACTACTGCATTTATCTGAATCTGTCGCATTGGGTTGATCAAACAAATCATAACAGCCTCCGCACATTTCTATCAAGTTTTAGACTCTCGTACGAATGTTTGTTTGACTTGTGGCCTTGCAGTCCCAAGAGCGTCTTCATAATGGGAGGTGGCGAAGGTTCAACTGCGCGGGAGGCTCTTAGACACCGAAGTGTTGAGAGAGTCATCATGTGCGATATTGATGAGGCGAGTCTACATTTGAGATCATTTGTTTATTTATATATCCATTTGTTTTTCCCATGTCCTTGTAGTCTGTTGGTTGATGGGACAAGTCATCTGCGAGGTTCACTTTCTTTTTGGTCAAAGGGTGTTCGCTAAGGATTTTATGCATTTCTGGTGATTATTGGTGCAGGAAGTCGTGGAGTTCTGCCGGAAACATCTCACTGTCAATGGCGAAGCATTTCGCAGCGACAGGCTTGAACTCATTATCAATTGTGCCAGGTCTGTGCAGTTTTTTGCTGAATCATAGGTTTAGACGTTGCTAGGAAGAAGTTCTTTTCCTTCAAGGCAATTTAGGGCTTCAGATAAACTGCCAGAAGCATTTGATGTAGCTGAGAAGCAACAGTTAAGATTTTTGTTTTTTATTTAATTTTTTTTTATCTGAACTCAATTTTCACTTTTAGATATAATGTAATATGGCAGGGCAGAGCTGGTGAAAACAACGGAGAAGTTCGATATCTTAATTGGTGACTTGGCAGATCCAGTTGAAGGAGGCCCATGTTATAAGTTGTATACTAAATCATTCTATGAACGTGTCCTGAAGCCAAGATTGAAGGATGGTGGAATTCTGGTCACACAAGTGAGACTCTTACTCAACTCATTCATGAGTTGCTCCTATATATTTTTTACTTTTTGCATTTTGTCAATTCTAATAACAGTAAGGTTCAGATAACAAAATTCTGATCCCTCAATCTGTAGCTGTTTCGAAAGCATTCACACTTTTAGTTCTTTTCTCAATAAAAAAAAAAAACGGGCTTATACTTAAGATCACAATATGTTGCCCAAATGTAGGGAGGACCTGCAGGTATCCTATCACATACGGAAGTTTACTCTTCTATTTATAATACTTTGAGAAAAACCTTCAAATGTAAGCATTCGCAAAGACTTCAATGTTCAACTCGCAGTAAACGCAGAGTTTTCACTCAATAGAACCTTTGAAGCATTTATTTTTGAAGAAATCCTATTTTCGTTAGCTGTTGATATTGAAGTTCTTTAGCAAGTTGCCACGGCATATGAATTTCTTTTTTAAAGATGAATGGTAAACCTGTATTGCAGATGTAATACCATATGCAGCGCACGTGCCATCGTATGCTGATACTTGGGGGTGGATTATGGTTAGCTACTCTTCACTGTCTAGGAAATGAACTGGCTGGGATACCCTAAGCTTATATTAGAAGTTTTTGGCTACATTTACCATTTTCTCTGGAATTCTTTATCAACATTCATTATTAGATCTCCTTTTGTCCACCTGTACAGGCCTCAGACCAACCTTTCCCAAAAATCAGTGCCGAGGAGACCGATAGTAGAATAAAGCATCGTATTGATGGAGAACTCAAGTTCCTAGATGGCGAAGCCTTATTTGCCAGCATTGCTCTCAACAAACATGTTCGCAAGAGGTACAACCCACTTGAATTATGCTTTCGGTGATTCTTTGAAGCCATAGTAACTCCTAGCAAATCTGAAGCGGAAATGAAATATTAAATACCTTCTAACTGGAAAACGATGGGTTTGTTTGTGTCTATCCACAGCCTTGCAGCAGAGCGACACGTGTATACAGAGGAGTCGGCACGGTTCATTCATGGACATGGTACTGCTTTGAAGAATTGATTAACCTTATGAAGTGCACAGTTCTAGTTCATAGTAGCAACTTTATCTCAATTACAAATGTTGGTAAACTAGACTTGCTCGGTGCAAGTCATAAAGCGCTTGCCATGTTGCAACTTTCTTCCTGAAGTAGACTAAACAAACATGCGTGTAGCTCTCGATCTAGAACCTGTCCCGAGTGCTGACGATAATATATTTCAAACATAGACTTCGATTAACAGTCGTTGTCAAGCCAGCCTCATGAGTTACGAAGAGAGGTAAAGAATTTGTTCAGTACTGTCGATAATGTACCAGTAGTAGTTACCTATGTTGCATAGTTAACGTTCTGAATTCTCACCAAGCCGTAACAGAAGGTGTAGCTTGATCTCCCTGGTTCTCACTTCAATGAAAACGTCAAAATCTTGTTCACTTGCAGTCTCTCAACAATTTCGCTTTTTGCTCGACTTCCTATCTGTGGTTGGCCTATGCTCAATGGGACTCTGTAGATAGCTCCACCAAAATATGCCAAAGTGTGACCAAATCATTGCAAAAATATGCCCTAGAACTTCTACTTCTATGATGATGTTTCTCAGTTGTGATACCCAAGGAAGCCCAAGCTGACATTGCTGTAAAGAAGGCACAGAGATTACATACTTTGTGCTGCTGGGTATTGTTAGCTCTCAACATGTTGGATCACTTTTAGTACAAATCAAGTGTAAGTGGAAGCTCAATTGGTTACATGTGTCAGTGTCATACTGCACAAGCAGGTGCAATGCATGTGTAGCAGTTGTGGTTAAAAAAAGATAGGATACCAGTTCCAGCAAAAGTCAGAAATATAGCCATCCCTAATCTGTGTGCATGTTCATAATGTTATGCAGATTATACGAAGTGCACATCTTAAGACACATTGTTCTATACTAATTTGTAAAGCCTTTATTCTTCAGGATCTTTAATCCTCAAAGTGCATATCTGAGCTTACAATCCAGTAGCTCAGGAGTAACAGGAAAACCCACACTGTCTTTCATGAGCTGAATTCGCAGAGATGACATAAGGACAATTGAAAATCCCAGAGCTGCTGTGCAAATACATTTGCACTGTACTTCTGACCATGGAATGTCATCAATAATTCCCCACCAACTGTGAGTCGGAATTACCTGTGGTGCTACTAAAAAATCGACCAAGGGCATCAATTTACAAAAACAACAGGAATATGATTACACTAGGGACAAAAACCCTACAATGTCTAGTAAGAAGTCATATCACTTCTCACAGTTTGAACACCTCATGGCAGTCTACCACCTCTTTCATAGTACGCCAACTGCAAGAAAATCTCAATTCAGTATCGCGATTTAATTGCATAAATGAACGTGGGAGCATCTTCTCAGTCCATTGCCGAACATAAGCACTGGCAGAATTATAGATATATAGGGGGGGGGGGGGGGGAACAGTCAACTACATGAGGCTCTAATGGCGAATTCAACTGCTGGCTGTACGTGTCCTAAATACCTGTGACATGGTTAAGGAATTTAACAGCATGTGATCAACCCCTAGCTAGTAATCTCAGCCTCACTTTGAGATTCTCAACTCTAGCTGCTGCACACTTCTGCTAAAACTCTTCCAGCAGTCATAGGTCTCAAGTTCTTTTCTCGATTCCAGAGCTCATTACTAGCGCTCCCATTGTACAAAATGTACATGAATCCCCCTTCGGCTCAATCGCTAGTGTTATGCTGACAGATCCTCAAGCCTCGTTCTTCAAGCGCTTGATCAACGCATCGATTAGCTTCTTCTTTGGAGCAACTTTTCCTCCACGACCAAACAACTTCTCTGGTAGATCCTTAAACTTCTCACCGATGATAATAATGTTTTTAGGATCAAGCGCACCGTAATTCCTCTCGCGGATGACTGGATTCAAGTAAAGGTCGGGTTGTGTAGCCATGAAGAGGTTCACAGTCTGGCGAGCCTCCGCAAGAAACGATTTCAAGGGTTGCACTCCGGGTACTCTGTCCTGGACACTTGTCCGGTACTTGTCATCAGCAAAACCTTCCAATAACATCAAATCTGCTTCGATGCCCATCACTGCATAAATGTTGAACCTCTTCACGTCCTCACTCAAAAAGGTCTCCATGATGCGTCGAGAAATGTGTTCAAGGACACCACTGATCACTTTATAGAATGCAGTTGGGGGAAGGATTTCCTGAGACGTTTCCGCTATAGTTTGCAGGTAGATATACACGTCATTCAAATAGTCGTTGGCGATTGTTGGAGGCTCATCAGGGCTCCAGTTAATGTTTAGAGTGGAATTCATGACCTCGTCCACTTTCGACTTCACCAACTTGATCATAGTGTCGTGTGCAACAGCTTGCGAGTTTCGCAGAACGGACTGAGCAGACAAAGCACCATGGGGACCCTCAACGAGCCGTGTAGGGATGCCACAAAGCTTGGCAGCATGTTGCGCAAAATAGTCACATGCAGTCTCAAGAACGGTCATATTGGCAGCAATCTGCATAGCATGCGACACTCCCAGTGTAGGACTTCGAACAAGCCTGAGCAATGCCTCGTTCAGAACTGTCACCAAAAGCTTATCCAAATACCTCTTCACAAGATCGTAGTAGTCAATATGGCCTCCGTAGGCTAAGAAGCTGACAGAATCTTCGATGAAGGATCTCACGATTCGACAGCAGTCAGGTACTGTGGCTGAAAAAGGAGCAATATACGGGAATGCAGGCATCACATCGACACTCTGTAGGTGAAAAGCGAGCACATTCATGTTATACTCGTACTCCTTCTTCATCATCATACGCTCCGACTTGTCGTTTGCAAGAACATCATTGATGCGGTAACGGCAGTCTGCTAGAAGAAGTTCATGGTATTTATCTCTCATCGTATCCAGCACCTCCAGCAACGGTCCAACCTAGAACACATCCAAGAAGTTAAGTACTCAATCGAATATTATAATTAAAAATGTACCAAATTCCAAATTTACGCGATCGTGCATGAAAGAAGAGGCTAATTAAAACATTGGTGGAACACACACCTGATAACCATGCCTTCGCAAGGTGGCACCAAGCAAACTAACATAATCCTTCACTAAAAGAAGATGATTGGCATCCTGCATTCGTGAAAACTGGTCTTCCATGACTACAGTCACTTTGCTGATAGCTGACTCCCACAGCTGCTCTGTCCTCGCACTGCTCATAAGACCCCCTGCAGACCTTAACACACGATCCTCAACAATAAAGAACCCAGCCAGCTGGGCAAAGTATGACTGATGCGATTCCAAAAATGACTGTGTGGTTGATATTTGCAAGTCAGAGTTCAGCTGCAGCTGCCTGTTCTTGAAGTAATGCTCCCGAAACTGGTCCTGCATCCCCAGGCATGTATTGATATGATATGCCCTGTAGACTGGAGTAAGATCAAATTTCAATTGAGAATCGTCTTCGTCTAAGTCTTCCATTTCCAGCATGTACACGAGCTCCTTAGATCCCGAACGGCTTTGCTCTTCTGCCTGCCGCTGCCGTCCTCTGAGCTCTTCCTCCCTTTGCCGAGCCGATGAAGCTTGCCCGATTGAGAGTTGACCTATCTCCCGGGAAGCACTTCGAATATGAACAAGCCAATCATTGAATTCCTTGTTCACCTTTCTTTCAATATGTGCTCTACAAACAGGAATTTGTCTTTCTAGAAGTTGTCGCAGAGCCCGAGCATGTAATACAGGCAAAAAGTCTCGCTCCATGATGTCCAAGGCTTTCAGTGCCGGGTAGTAGCTATCATTCATCACATTCTCATTTACTCTCATGCACAGATCCACCACAGCAGTACACATTTTGAGCGACTCAATTGCCTGCATTATGTTCTTCTTCGTCCCATGGGACTGTATTAGAGCGTCGAGCATCCGCAAGAGAGTGTCACCAATCTCTTGTAACTGCCTGTTTTCCTCTGCAAGCCCGGATTTGAGCTCATCGGCGTCAACAAGAACATACCGCAGTTCATCTACTGCTCGAATAAATTCTGAGTAATGAAGCTTGCAAAGGTCCTCAATTTCCACTTCCTTCTTTTTCACAAAGCTCTTAAGTTGATGAATCAGAGTCTCGGGCTTGCCAACCTCAAATGCTGCTCGGATAAACGGGGCTAGGTCTTCGCCATTACCAATGGCAGACGCTAACGCCGTATCATCTACTCCCGTCATTCCTCCATCCCCATTCTCTCTCAATCCTGCTCTCTTTGCCTTACTCATCGCGGCTAGATCCTGTAAAACCTAACCAAATACTCGCATTGGCAAGCAAGGGAATTGGGGAACTAGACCACCCCTCCCTACAACCAGACGACAGAACGAATATTGCCCACAACGTCCAACCTGTCCACCTTCTACAAAAGCAACATCGGACGTTGCTTTGCTACAAGTCACGCTGCGGCATCATCATGTGATACTGCGCCTCTTGCATATTAATCTAGCTCCCAACCCTACAAACTCTCCACGATGCCATACACGTAAATTCCGTTCGCCAACTCCTGTCAATACACTTCCGCAACAGTACCAACATGACGATCCTTCTGTGAATCACAGGATCTCTCTTCCGCTTGAACACACACATACACACACAATCTTACAAGATCCACTCCAACAAAGAACAATGAAGCAGAAAACTCAAATACACATCTAAATGGAGATGGACTCACTTCAAACACCAAAACCCTAAAACTTCCCCGATCGTCTACCCCCAACATATCCAATCACCAACTCAATCTCTCCACGAACTTAACATATCCCAGCACGCAATGACCTGAAGACTATCTTCCACGAAACACACCTGTGGCCACCGATCACATAAGCTCCTTCAATGCTCCGCACTACTCTCGCTCGGCTTCGAAGAAACAGAATCAATCACGAACATATTGCCCCGTCACACAATCACAAGCCCAAGTCCAGCCCCGATTCTGCTAATACACAGTCAAGAGCCACTCTGACTGACTGACTGACTAATAAGTTCGACTGTGGGTAGCTAGATGACGTCGTGGATCGAAAAATTCAGGATAATTATTTGATTCTCGGTCTATTGTAACGCTTGTTAGCGGCCCTAACCAAACTCACTCCGAACCCAATTCTTTGTCACTTTCATACACCGAAGCGATCGTACATTAGCAAAATCTCAAGAGAAACTGTGAAGTTACAGAGTGGGCCTCCTTCAGATAAGTTGCGGATCAAGATGGGTATTTTTCTAGGGCTGCTGACGATGGTTCTTGATTAGAAGCCCTAGGAAGGAGTTGGGTGATGCCATGCATAGCCTGCATTGCGTCGGTGTTGGGCGTGCCCGTTCAACTGCTCATTACTTTCATTGTCGTCGCTTGGTACCATGCAGCGCGGTGGCCAGGTTCATTCCAGCCGGTGCAGTAAGGAAATCTCTGTAAGTTAACATCTGCTATGTGTATTATGTGGTATAACCACTTTGTTTCGAAACCACTCTGTTCTCTTTTCTGAACTGTGACTAGCTATAACATCGTGATGCTGGATCGGCAACATTGCGGTTTCAGCACTTTTTTTTATGCTGCCTTCTGATTCCTGCTCACTTGGTGCCTGCTGCTAAGTTCTTGTGTTGGGAATGTGAATGATCGTGAGGATTGTTTCAGTTTTGAATCAATAAAGCATGTAAAATCAAGGATTTCAAAAGAAGGATATTAGAATCTGATACACATGATTGATGTTTTTTTAGTAATATGTCTAGCAATTACATGAGGCTGCTGGTTCAATGTGTATCAGAAGAACTAGATGGTTGTATCACATGTAAAGTCAAAGCACTATCTGTAAAGCTTTTAAGAAGTTTCTCTAAAAAAATATTATAAAATAAATTTATTTTTACTTACTTCTACTTAATCATATAGATAAACATTAGAGTAAATATGTATGTCTGGGACATTATCTCTCCTTTTAAAGACAAGTTTCATGAAGAATAGTAATCATATGTTGAAGAAATATAAGATGTGACAAATTGTGTTTATCACATACTCTGATCATTGTTTTTTTTGAAGATGGTTAATAGATACTCTCAGCCATTGATAATATTATATATTAGATCAGGAAGATTACCTTGTTATTTGATCATTATTGGGGCCTTCATAACTCTCTTCAAATAAAACATTTGGAACACCATTAAAAGTCATTCCTACCTCTAATAAAATCACCAAACATAGAAAATCACTTCCAAGGTTGTGATGTCAAACATATTGTATCTTCCTATCTATTTGAAGAAGGACATGTCGTTTTTGAGGATCTTCATCTTGATTACATTGTCTTGAAAGTTGTGACAATTATAATGTCTTATCTAATAAGTAAGCAAATAAAAGCTCTTAAGTTGAATCTATTGGTTGTTAGTTCTCCATTTCTTTAACGTCACAAATACACAAAAGTTATAAATAAGAGTAGAAGGTAGAATGTAATCTTTCTTGAATCTTATTTCTTTTGTAGCAAAGATTTTCTATTCTTCATCTCAGTTATGATAGATGTCTTTGATGAAAAGCCTCAATCTTCTTTGTTATATTTATAAGATTCTTTGCTAGCTCCTATGTACATTCGCTAATATCATATCTGCTCTCACAATATATGTTGCCTTATTTGAGAATGCACTAGGTACTTGGCTATGGAAGGTGAAGTTGTATTTTACAAATATTCAAGAAATCTTAATAATTTTCATCTATATAAGAAGAATGCAATTCAAATTTCAATTTGAAAGTGCTTACAGCTAGTACAAAGTACTCAAAAATACTCTTCTTAGTAACTTCAACAATACATAAATTCCAATTGTCTTATTACTTTCATAATTAAGCAATTTTGTTCTCTTTATAAGGCCTAATCCTAGTCAGTGAATTTTGGTGAATTGTAACTGCTAATCTAATCGTCTATTTGATACAAAATTTTGCATAAAAATACCACTATTAGTCTTTCATATGCTTAGAAAAATTCAACCTAATCAAACTTATAAATTGTGAGAAAAAGCCCAAAAATCACTTTAATATCATTTAACCGCCAACTTGAAAGTTAATGTAGATATTCCAATAGTGATTTCTCATTTTCCAACTCTTAACTTCAATTCAAAATCAATGTATAGCTTGATCTTAAAGTCTTGTAATATCATGCCAAATTTCATCTTAATCCAACTAATAGATCTTTAAATATCATAGAAATCCTACCTCACTTCAAACTACCAATTTCTAATATCTTCATGTACCAAAACCCTAATATCTTTCAATTGCACTAGTAGATTAAGACAAAATTTTATACACATTTAGCACATCCAATCAATCAAGTACTATCAAATTTTAAGTTATAGATGTGTTACTAATTATACAAAGTACTTGACAGTACTAGCCCTAATTATATTGCATAAATTCTAAGTCTCCACTACAAATCTTGACTTTAAACAAAAATTACAAAGTTATTTCAAATCTAGTAAAAACAAACCTTATACTTTTGATATAAGCTTAAAGCTAGCTTAGAAATTTCAATTATTGATCTTCAAATGCCTCTTTACCTTATCCTAAGTGACTATTTTAGTAGCTAGAGGTCTGATTTCGACCCTGTTCTACAAATGGTCAATCCTTGGATATAAATCCAATCCATTTTAGGGATTTTTTTAGCTTGATCCTACCTTCAATTTAACCTTAGTATCAACCATACTAAAAAAATAGGAAGGTCTCTGATAAAATTCATAAAAACAGAAGACTATGGTTGTTTCAGAATAAATAATGGCTGAAGAAGTCCATAAGGTCGATGATAAGGAGTTTTTGATCTTGAACAAATATCACGTCATTGTACAAAGTCTTTGATTGCCTTCTATATTTGAAGCCACAAGAAATCTTTAGATATTAGCTCCAAAATCTTGTTGTATGTAAAATGTCCGACTATTGAAAAGTTATGATGAGCTTGAAGAACATGTGATTGTCCTTTGCTTTTAAGAATACATAATTGTCTCTTAAAATAGAATAGATTATGCTTGAACTTGAAATTTGAAGTATCATAAGAATTAGAAGAATTATTTTTAACATTATGAAGAAGAGGATCAAAAGACATATTTGATTAAATTTACTTAATAAAGATTGAATCAATAATCAATGTTGATTTTATTGCTCAAAGATAAAAATGCTTTAGCTTCAAAAAAATCATTCTTTTTTGATTTAAAGTTATATTTTATTCTTTTGGTACAAGTTAAAAATGTCTAGAAAAGGTGTTTGATAAATCTCATTATTTTTTAGATTGATAAGTGATCTTAAAATCAAAACTTGATAAAAACATGCTCCAATAAGCTTGGCAATAATTCAAAATACATGTCAATATGAAGTACTTGAGATTCTTGTTATCTATATATACAATGACTAAATTAAAAGTATTTTCTAGATAATGTCACCATTCTTAAAAAGAATCCACAATTGTAAGAAGCTCTTTGTTGTAGATTTTATAGTTAATCTTGACTCCTAAAAATTTCTTAGAATAAAAAGATATTAGGTGGAGCTTGTCATTTTTTTCCATTTTCAACAAAATAACATCTATAGAAAAGTGTAATGCATCTATTTCTATAAAAAATGCCTTGAAAAAATTGACCCAATACAAAATTCGTACAAAAATAAATATTATCTTTAAGACTTCAAAAGATGCTTTAGCTTCTTTGTTCTAGTCAAGTTTATCTTCACATATTAGGTATATGAGAAGAACCACAATTTGAAAAAAGTTCTTCATAAATATCTTTTAATTATATGTAAATTCTAAAAATATTACACATCTTTGATTGTTTTTGGAATCTTCCAATTCATAATAGTATAGAGTTTCTTTGGATTCATCATAAATCCTTCATTGAAAATAATGTATTCTAAGAAGTGAACTTGAATAGTATGAAATACATACTTTTCCATCTTAGCATACAATCTTCTATGTCTAAATTTTTGGTATTGATGAATAAGATTTTGAAAACTAAAGAGCTGCCATGATTATTTGACCTATTCTTCTCTAGCAAAATCTTTGTTCTTGACATCTTTCAAATAATTGATTGTCACATTCAATGGCTTGAGTAATAAATTATTTTAAAAGATTTTTTTATTTGGGATTGTCAATAATAAATCTTTAAAAGTTATCTTTCAATCTATATCAAAATTGATTAATAAGGACTTTGCCATTCCAATTCACATTGTAAGCAAGATTTTAGAATTTAGCAACATATATGGTGGCTAATTGTGATCATTGTCATAAAGATAAGAGTTTGGTCTTTACTATTCTTTCTCAATTACTTTCTTTGAATGTGATTGTAAATACTTCCAAGAATGAATTCAAATCATAAAACAGTCATGAATTCTTTTCCATCAAAAGTGCAAACCAAGAAAGAATAGTTCTAGATAGAAGTATGCCTTTGAATCCAACTTTAGTAAATCTATTAGGATACTAGAAGAAATACAACCTTAGATAGAGCTTGACTTATTGTAGAAACCTTTAAAATTTTGAACTTGTTCCATCAAACTTCTTAGGCATACTAATTCTTGTGTCTATCATACTTATAAAAGCAAAAATTTCTACATTTAATTGTGAGGTTGATTTACTTGCTTCCTTCAATTGCACAATTTTTTTATGTATACTTTGAACTTCTTTCATAGGCACATGATTAGTGTTTCCATAGTTGATACTTGTGATATATGAAATTTCTATCCTAAAAGTGTTGACAAATTTATAAAGATCAGCAATAGTTATATATCTATTTTCACTTCTACCAAGTATAGTATCCATAATTTTTTCTTCCATTCAAATAACTTAACAAATTTAGAAGTCAAATTAGAAGAGAATAATTGACAACTTCTAATATCAAATGAAAATTTCTATAAAGAAAGATAATTTGTTTTTTTTTTTTTTTTTTTTTTTTTTAAACATCAGTGTTAGAAAACTAAATAGTCTGATTAAAGGTGGATGATCCACAATCTTCAAAACACAACAATAGAAGTAAAGTAATCTAATTATTTTAAAAATAAGGCAAAAAAAATAATTTAATACTCTTGTCAAACTATCAAGGACATGAATCTCAAAAAAAAAAAAAAAAAAAAAAAAACTCAATATACTATTATGTCACTCAAAAAGATTAGAAAATCATTCAAAAATGATATAGAATTAAATTAGAATGGCTATTTTTAAATTTAAAAAAACTAAAAAATATTGAAATAAAAATAAGAACTAGAAAGGCATTGACAAGAGAAAAAATACTTCACTTTTACTTCTATATATACTCTTAATTAAGAACTACAGAACAATGTCTTATAGGACCTCTAAAACATATTGACTTTGCAAGATGTGAGTCATCAAATCGATTCATTATTTATTTTAGGATAATA